CCAAAAAGGAGGATGTTCTCAATTTATTGGAGTATTTTTTTTATGAGTGTTCAGCAATAATTCTTTACATTATATTTGATTTTTTTTATACAAATAATTGATGTATTTTCATATTTACTATAGAAAAATGTTTGTAATCTTTTAATATTATAATAAAACTACATTATCTGTTTTTCTGAGATTTATTTACAATAAAGAGAATTACTTATATTTATTTACAATTAGTTAACAATTTGAACAGAACCAGGAATTTCAAGAAGTCCTTCACAATCTAAATGAAACCACTTGATATTACAATCATCATTGTCGCATTGTATCATCGGTCTTCCATCATCAGGTTTGACACAGTTACACCATGTTTGAACCTTTGCTAAACCTTCATTTATGGTAAAATACCTACTCAACATTTCTGGTTTTATTACAAATTTATGAAACTCTATAGATTTTTTTAAATTTTGATGACAAAATTCTTCATCGAAATATATTCTGTCAATCAATATTCCTTTTTTTGACCAAATTACAAAATCACAGTAACTCAATTCTGTTACAAACATCTGCAGTTGTACCTGATAAAAATATAGATGATTATGGTCTAAAGAATAATTATCAGGACTAGTTTGTACTAGGCATGAACTTTTCTTCTTAGCATATTCATCCAAAGTTAAATCCTGCAATAAATAGGGACACTTCACTTCAACACATCCTGGACCATGACATGTACATGAAACTAATCCATCTGGTGAAGCACCAACCTGTGGATAACTTTTAGAAATAAAAAAGCCCGAAGTATTCACTTCAATATTTTCATGATACTTTTCAATATTTTCTAAATAGTTTTGTAGAGCAGTACTTTCATTTTTAATGCCATACGTGGTCTGTTTAGAATAAAATATTGTTTTTTGTGGATAACATATACCTTTAATTAATGAAAGAGGTGGCTTTCCTAATTTGGCTCTAGATGCTGCTTTAAATTTTGAAGCAGTGATTCGGCCAGCCCTAAACTTAAACCAGGCATTGCTTTTAGTTTGGCCTCGAGTTGCTTTTTCAATGGTCTTCATATCATTTTCATTTATATTAATGTCTGTGGCCTCTGATATTTTTAATATTTCTTCGTATGTTAGCAAGTAACTCTTCATTAAAAAGATCTTGCAAGCCACTCAGAATCTGTGTTGCAGGCTTCATCATTTCTGTTGCAAACGGTTCCCTAATCCTCCCAATAGCTGATTCAATTCCCATATTTTGGAGATCCCTTATTAGAACATTTAGTTCATCTTCTTCTATGGGTGTACACATTAAGGCTGATGTGCTTACTGGTTTTGTTGTTTTTTTTGCCCAGCTCATATCCCGTATGCGCATCATTTCCACACGTTTAGCAGCAGGTATTGGCCACTGAGCCAATAACTAAGTACATGAAACTTGGGTGCTACCACCAACAGGACGTGCTTCAAGAAAAAAAAGTACTGCTGCTATATGGCTGCATACTTCACCCAAACCTGCCATACAGTTACAATGACCAGTGGATATTGCACCATCAAATAATAAAGCAATCCACACAAGAAGAGGTTTTTAATTCCTTTTTTGAGAATGCATGACCTGTAACAAAAATTTTAAGTCAAAATAATGTTTTTAATAGAATACAATATGTAATTTCCTTTAATCATATACCTAATATAAATATATAAACTAACTTACTTTGGCTAGAATAATACAAGTACTTGACTCCATCCTTTTAGCCAAAATCTCTTGCACATACCCAGCTTCATAATATTTAAAAGCTTGTAGTGATTTGTAAGCCTTCAACTGCTGCCCAGTATAAAAACTATTGGTTAAAACAAGATAGTTCATTAAGTCGATTAAGTTGACTGACGGCAAGAAACTTATATCTACAGATAAGTCATCATGCCTCAGGCAGTAGGGATCAATATTGTCTATTATTTTTAGTTTTTCGTCATAACGAACTTTTACGTCACCACCAAGAGAACAATAATACTCACTACGAAACATTTTTGTTAAAAAAAGTTACAATATACAGTAATATTTTGAAAAGAGCCCAAAGAACAGCGTACACACGTTAAGACTATATAAAAAACAATAGCAAAATAAATTATGTATGCCCCTCAGTGAATGTCAACGTCATGTCAAAACCACGTGACCTAAAATGGTCTATTATACTTGTTTTATTATATCGGCTCTTACGAAACTGTATCTTAAAAAAGGGTTTTCTACCTGATTCGAAAAAGGTCACAACGAAATTGCATCCCCATAGACTAAGGGTCACTTATCGTAGGCTAAGCAAATTTAGCTGTAAAATTGAGCCATTGTTGCCACCTTTTGTGTTGTTTATTAAAAATTCTACAAACGTTCTCGTTATATTCAGTCAGTAACATTTTCAGAAAATATTTTTTAGCCAGTAAGGTTTTAAGAATATTGATCCTTTTTAGTAACTTCTGTTATTTTATTAATTAATCTAGGTATTTTGTAAATTGACTAATGGGCAATAATTCAACAACAACTACATATTTAAATGTTTATTAAAACTGTTAAATATAATTAAAACTTAGCTCTAAATTTATACGAAATTATTTTAATTTTCTTATTTAATGTTGATTTAAATCACTGAGTTATCACATTTATAAAAACATTCATATCAGGGTGAGCGCGTAAAAGGAAGCATTATATTTCGAATGAAAAGACTCACAATTGATGATTCTCTGCAAAGAAGAATGCTCTGTCCATATAAATGGTGGAAAAGATAAGTCTTCTGCAATATAATTGTTAACGAGATAATCACAAAACTGCGTAACTTTTTCATTGACAGGATTAATTTGTATTAAATCAGTTGCGAAAATGTCGCCTACATCTTCAGGATAAAGAAATGGTATCCAAAAACAAAGGTTAAAAATGTTGATATTTCCGTTTCATTCTCCTTAAGCTTAGCCTAATTCCTTAATTTTTCGGTGCCATGACTGCCTTAAGTGAAAGCGACAACCTCGTAGACTAGCTTCTGGGAACGCCTTGTAGATGCTATTATGAATAGCAATCTCAAAGTCTGCTGTTATCATTTATGGCGAAACAGGGTGGTTAAGTTTGACATACTCCTCTATTATATACTTAAAAACAAGATTGTCTGATAAGAATGTTTTATTACGAAGGAGACCAAGAACTAATGGTCATTTTTAAGACCATGAATTATAAACAACTGAGTAAAAAAACGGACAATATTCAAATGAACCATCAACATACCAACAAGAAACAGATGACAGAAATTTAAGGTTTGATAAACACGAAAATATGACAATATTATTTTCTTTGTCATTTTTAAGCAAGAAGTTTTCTTTCTGATTGGTTAAAATAGGAGACGACTCAATTGCCTTATGAAATATGGAAATATTTTTAGGATTTTTAAAAAGAAGAGAAGATTTAGCATTGTATATATTTTACCTCAATCTTAAGGTTAAGGTCTCGACTGCAGAATTTTGAATTTCGTTTCTAATGAGTTTCAAGGGTTTTTTACACAAATGTCATCCACAGCTTTACGCTTAACTGAATAACTCACGAGATGTGTGTTAAAAACTTCATCGGTTAACTTTTCATGATTGCACTATTGTATCGTCAAATTCTTGGGTTTTCACAAATGCCTTACATGTTCGCTTACTGCATTGCCATCGTTTTACTGTTTTATTGGTCAACATTTTTTTAAAACTGAATGTATAACCATGAATTACCAATAATGACATGCCTCTCTTACTTAAACAAAAAGTGGCTTCCATTATTAAAAACTGCACAGAAACACCATCACAAAGACAACAACATAAAGACAAAGACGAAATAAAATTAATAATATTTGGCGATAGTATACTGGTCTTTCCTTGGCATTTTTAAAATCCCACCCCATAGATAATCCGTTTATACCTGGAACTAAAGCTACTTAATAGTCCATTTGGTAATTTAAGTTAGTTTTATCCAAATAACCTCATCACAAAACAACAATTATTACTATGATAATTATTACTGGAATAACCAGTATATAAAAATATATCTTCCAATAATTCTTTTATATGCATGTCCCATTTTCTAACATTTTTCTAGTAAGGATTCAATAAAATACCTTTTATGTATGTTTCTTTTACTTTGTAGGTAGGTACCTGCTTTAAAAATTACATTTGACAACACTGCTCAAATTTCCGTAGAATTTTAGTAGTAATAAAATTTTCACCCCGGATGCAGTTTCGTTGTACCCGGGAGGCAGTGTTGTTGTTCAAAATTCCAGCTGACCCATTTGGGATGCAGTTTTGAATGTCCGATTATATCGTATAGATATGCATAAAACATTCCAAGAATGTTCGTAGATTGTTGATAGAATGTTATGGGAATATAACAATATTCTATGGACTTACTTACTTGTGCTGTCTGGGTAAAATTGAGCAATACTGCATGAACTGTTATTTATTTTAATCTTTCTTGGTAAAAGTTTTCTTGAATATTTTCCATAAAAATATAAACTATTATTTAATTTCGACTATAAAACTTAGATTATACTGTAGTAAATATGCTAATTATTTATACATAGAAAATATGTACGGTTGGAGTCAAATGTCATTTATTTTTTGCAAATTTTATATATACTTATTTATCAACATTAGACATTTCAGTTAGCCAGACAAAATAATCTTAATATTTTTAAGGAATTTAGTATTTTAATATCATTTTTTAAAAACTGATGTACTAAACTATTTCAATAGGAATTAGAAAATAAAAATAAAAGTATTATATTATGTTTATAATTAAATATTGTGTATCATTAAACAAAAATAAAATATGACAAACAATTATTAAAATCAATACATCAGTAAGTAAATCAGATAGTTTTGCATTAGAAATAGTAGCTTTATAGTGTTGATTTTAATTTTTTTTTTTAATTTCGCTAAGGTCATAGTAACATTATTAAAATTATTAATGTAGCCTTCTCTCTTTGCTAATGATCTTAATGCATTATTTACCTGTGTTTATTTGCACCCCTTAGACAATCGGCGTAATTCATCAAAACGAATGATTCTTGGAAAGGTACAGCTACGTACAAATACCCGTGTTGGAATTCGCTGGGCTTCCTCAACACTTGCCCGAATATAGTGCAAATTCTACAAAAAAAGTTCATGTCATCATTACTTTAGAAAATTGGTGTAATCTATAAAAATAACCCCCTCAAAACAAAACAGAGTTGTTGAACATAATTGTGTAATAAAACTATGGCAATAAAAATGAGGTGAACCTTCAACAAGAGTGAATATTGAGTAAGAATAAAATTATATAAATAAACTGATAAAGTCTCGGAAATATCCCAAGTCCATTCGCTTTCTTTATTGTTTAAATGTAAAATGGATGAAACAAAAAATTACTAGATTTTGGCACATCGTAGATTAATTACATCATGTTACTATGTCAGGTGTCAGTTTGTTAAAAATTTGTATATTTTATTATTTCAAAAGTATTTATAAGTATTCAACAAAATGGTGAAACGATTTAGTGATCAATCAAAAACTTTAATCTTTAACGTGATTTTCTATTTTAAGTGACACAAATATATTTACGAGGCTCTTGAAAAGAGGTACAATCAAATGGCTGAAGAGGAACTAAACATTTCGCAGAAAACTATCTAAAAACTTAGTAAACCAACAAATTATAATAAAGAATATGTGAAAATATTGTCTTAAAAAAGTAAGCCAAAGTAAAACAAAATTTAATTCTTTAATACTAAGTAAGTTAAAGGTGTGAATAAATTAGTGAATGATACACGAGTCTTCCTTAAGTCAGCTGAAAGGTAGCAGGCAACAAACTGTGTACGACCATTGAAATAATCTCTGAAGAAAGACAATGTATTTCCTGTTATTCCGTAGTCTTCCAAAATAGATGACAGTACTGAGTGATTAACCGTATCAAACGCCTTCTTTAAATCAAGTGAAACAATAATACATGCATTGCCTTCATCCACATGATGTCTGATGTTGGTAATTATATCTGTGACGGCCGACGTTGTGCTACTTTCACTACGAAAACCATACTACCCCTTGTACCAAAAAGTCTTCTTTCAACATAGGAAACAAGTCTTTGATTAATAAATTTTTCCAGGACTTAATAGAGATATCGGTCGGTAGTTATTAGTGGAAGTTCTTAGCCCTCCTCTAAATAATGGAAAAACTTTAGCTACTTTTAGTCCATTGAAAATTGAAGCATGAGTGGAAGTTAAGTTTATTAGGTTACTTAAGATAACCGACATCTCGTTTTTGAAATGTTTGATCAAGTCTCCAGAGATACCATCAGCACCACAGGCTTTTCTCGATTTTAACTCTCAAATTACTTTGTTGATTTCTTGAGGGGTAGTTAACTCCCATTGATATAGTTATTGACGATTTATAACTGTAGGTTTCGTGTAAGTATACTCCAGTATATTTTCTGATATGTCTTTACCTATTTCTGTAAAATGGGTGTTAAGAATATCTGCAATTTTCCTAGGAACTTCTATAGAGTCATCTTCTACTTGCAGTTTATTTACTGTGTTTTGTTGCTTTGATATTTAATTATAAATTAACAAGTTTAAAACTAACCATTTATCTTGGATTACCTAGGGCACTTGTTAGCTGATTGTGATAATATTGTTTTTTACATTAGATATAGCTGCTTTTAAGATAGTTTGACTGTTCTTGTATTCACTGTGAAGCAGGGCACTATTGGGAAAAAAACTTATGCTTTTTATAACACTTATCTCTATGCTTGATTAGATTATGCAAATGAATGTAAACCATGGACAACTTTTAGTTCTAAAACGGTTTTTATATGTCCTACAGGTGGTAAAGCTTTAGACTGTTCTCACTATTTGATCACACAACACATTTGGTTACTGCCACACAGTGTTAATTGTACCTTGAAGATCTCTTCTACATGCTAACCTATTAACTTAGAACATTTATAATATTTTTCATTGCCAATTGAATTGCATTGTTTTTCTTGCAATAAATATTTTCTGTGTCTCTTGTTGTAATATATTTTTTTACCGAAGAATATGTTTCACCAATTTGCACCTGTTTTGGATTAACTTCAAAAACTCTAAAAACGTTAAGAACCAATGTTTAGCTAAGAAATTTACTTATAAAGACAAAATGTAAAACGTTAATATTAATTTTTTTAAAGTAACTTCTTGTATTCATGTAAACGCACCTTAATGAAGTTTACGCTGCTAAGCAACAACAAAACGCAACTCAAATAAGGAGACACGTGCAAACTGTAACTAAAAATGCGATACTCTTTTGTTAGAGTCACTTTACATCAGAATTGATAATGGATAAAGGAAATAAAAAAGTTTTAGTACTTCTGGAATTGAAAACCTGATTCAAGTCATCTAAAAAGATAAAGAAGAAGATAAGAAGGAAACGAAGAGGAAAGGAAAAAAAAGAGAAGAGAAAAAAGAAAGAAAGAAGGAATAAGGAAGAATAAGGAGACTTGTTTTATTATGTGAATCGTATTTTTTAATATTTGAACTTACTGAAACTTTTAACTGGTATATTTTTAAAAACAAACATATATACGTACTTACTAATTCCTTCCGGTATATCTAGTACATTAGTCAAATATTTATGTATGATGTCCCATTTTTTCATATCAGCCTCATTGAATACAACTTTTTCGGGAATTTGATTAGTTCTTCCATTCACCACCATGTAAACTATGGTTAGATTTTTTCGCTTCGTCTCCATGAGAAAAGGTTCCGCCTTCGTGTTCATATCGCCAGTGTACAGCTTTTTCGTACCTTTTTTCTTTAGGACTACCTCCTTTTCGGCAGTGGTTTTGTACCTAAAATTCATTATTTTCCAAATCCAAATTACTATTTTTACAGGTTTGTACCAACAAGAACAATGTACTGTCACGTCCAGTAAAATTTTAAAATATCATAATTAAAATACATTAAATAAATTATTACCCTTTTAAATAAATCCTAGAAAAAAAAAAATAATTATATCTAATAGAAAATATTTAATAATCTCTTAAATGTCAATATAGTAAATAATATTGTAAAAATTTTGAAATAAAAATATAAACGACCTTCAATAATTGAGTCGAATTAAGACAGCAAATTCAGCCAATAGGTAATAGGTATAAATTCAACACTAATTACTGTTACGAAGATAGTAAAGTTTACTGTTACGAGGACAGTAAAGTTCTCCTTCTGCTGCACTGAGAGGTATTTAAAGTAAAGATAACTCTTACTTTTGGAGAAAGCGTCGTGACGTGCCACTCACAGGGAATGTTTTGGTAAAGCCCTTTTATATTGTTGTTATTATATCTGTTTTATTTTGTATTATTTATTGATTGGAATTGGAACAGTTACAGAATACATTCTTATGATATCTCTATTTTAAAAAGTATCACATTAGACCGGATTACAATACTGTCAGAACAGTACAATTATTAAAGAATTAATTCAAAATACTTCACTAAATTCTAGTTATTTAGGTACAAAATAATTAAGGGGGGCGGAATGTTTATTTTCGCATATTATTTTTTGCATGAAGCAATTTCTGGAACCAAACTCGCATTTTTCTACACGTTTCTTTCTAGAGGTAAGTAATTTCCAATTTATTTAGAAAACCACTATATAATGTGTGTGTTTAATAATATATTATAAAATGGCTGTAATTATTTTAGGTGAATTGGAACAGAGATCCATTGGTACAGCTACTTTTGTTCATTAAGTAGGTAGATGAATGTCTTGGCAGTTTTAATGGCAGAACAAAGTTCCCACCCACTAGAAAAGAAGTAAAATGTATGCTGAGTAAAATATCTCTGCACATGTAGTATGGACAAAGGACTTTTGAAATGATTACGAGATTGGCTATTTCTTACATACACCTACCTCTAATAGCCACTCTAGTAGCTATTTAGAAGACTGTACAGTCATTAAAACGAACGAAAAAAATTGGATCACAATAGGGCAGAATTTTAAATCAGGATGCAATGGAAAGTAAATTGGGGGACATCAGCATAGGGATCACGACACTCGATTTGGGCTACTCGATCTCGGTTAATCGACTGAAACGTTTAAAATATATTCATGACATTTGAATAATCGTCTCGATTCGATCGCAATTTCTCGACTGCTTAGAAGGTGTAGAGTAGTATAATTTTGAGGTTAAGTTAAAAAAAAAAAAACAAAAATGCTTCCTATTGTTCACAAAGTTTTATTAGAAAGACAACGTCGACGAGAAAATTTGGCCTTAATAAGAGAAAGACGTTTGTTACGACGGAAAAGCGATCCTTTACTTCTTGTGGATAGACGTTTTATTGAATTATTTCGCCTCAATAAAGTCTTGTTTCGCAAATTAATAGACATTTTACGACCTCATCTACACCAAAGACAGGACTTTAGGGGCATATCGATTGATAATATGGTTTTATGTGCCTTAAGGTTTTATTCTACTGGTTCATATCAAAGATGTGTTGGTCAAGAGTATTTTTTTGGAATGGCTCACAAATATATTCATATTATCACCAATTTGATGATAAATCTCGTAGTAGGCACTAAAATAAAATTTCCAACTGCAAATGAACAAGATATTATTAAATTAGAGTTTTTAAATAGATGTGGATTTCCTGGTACAGTTGGTGCTAATAGACGGAACTCATATTGCAAAACGAAAAACGAACACGTAATTAATGCCGTCATAGTCACAGGACACATAACTCAACCACAGAACATAACGCAACTGACACAGAACATTACATTTGTCTTGGTAGTAGTTCAAATGACTTCAAAAACCGACGATAAACGAAAATCAACTCGATCGAGTTTCATATATCCTTTTTCGAATTGCGGTCAAGTCGAACGTCGAATTGTACAATTAAGAGGGTTCTATACCCATCAGCTCCGTCAATTTCATACATAACCTCGAAATCCACGTCCCTTACGTCTTCGCCATAATCCCCCCCATTAAAGAAATTGTTAGGCAGCCTAAAATACATTTCTGTGCATTTGTGGTTGCATAGTCTACCAATTCTCGGATCAGAACATCTAGACCCGAGAATACCGATCAAGGAGAAGCGACATGCGACAGCATGGTGTTTTCAGTGTACCGTTTTGTAACGCGCATGTGCGAAAATAAGTTGTGTATCACTCAAAATTATGTTATCTGTCAAAGTCAGTCCAAGTTGTGTGTTTAGTATGTGAGCAATGTTAAGTGATATTTTTTGGTATTTGTTTTGTGTAGTAATAAGATGAAGATTTTTACACATTTAGGTATTCTAATACAGATATAAAATGTGCCAAAAAAGGAAACTAAGAATTTGATCACATGCATAAATATTAAGTATAATGATTTAATCATTTTGGACATTTTATTTTTCATATGTAGGTATTGTATTTTATAATAAATCCGCGTGTTTCAATTGGGATTGGTCAAAGTGGGCGAAATCCCTTTATTATAGCTAAATTGTAAGTTACAATTATGTCAATATAAAGATGTTTTGCTCATTCATATTTACACGTAGTCCAATGGACGTTCACTTTAGATCTGAGGGTCAGGTCGTCCATATCCGGGCATCCAGTGTACGTCCGTTTATGCTAATTACATGCACAGCTGAATATCGATACCCAGAGAACGTCTGTTTTTGGACTTAATTTTAAGTTTAGTAGTATTTTGACGTCCAGTGGACGTTCATCTTAGGTCATTATTTATTAAGCCTACCAGATAATACCCATCTATATATACTTCTTTTTTACTTTCCTATCTGTATACAGATATAAGGAAAGTATAGGAATCATGATTTTTTTCGACCTCGAGTTTTTGACGGATTTTTACGTTTTGAGGTCCCCTGAATCCGTTTTGACTATTTTCGCGATGATGTCTGTGTGTGTGTGTGTGTGTGTGGTGTGGTGTGGTGTGGTGTGGTGTGGTGTGGTGTGGTGTGGTGTGGTGTGGTGTGGTGTGGTGTGGTGTGGTGTGGTGTGGTGTGGTGTGGTGTGGTGTGTGTGTGTGTGTGTGTGTGTGTGTGTGTGTGTGTGTGTGTGTGTGTGTGTGTGTGTGTGTGTGTGTGTGTGTGTGTGTGTGTGTGTGTGCGTATGTTTTACCGTACTTGTGGGATTATCGCCTGAATAAAACCAGGACTGTGGGGACAGTAAAAGTTGTGGGGACATTTAATGTTGTGGGGACATACACACTTGTCCCCACAACTTTTTTTGGCTTTATCTTCGTTATTTGTTTTCTTTTAAAGATCATTGCTACATAAAAATCTCGCAAAAAAATTTGTTCGCGGCACTTTTAATTTTAACTAATCTAGAGTTATTACTTTTACCAAAATTGTTAAATAAGTTACTGTCCCCACAACTAGGTAAAATATCAGGTGTGTATATTTTTTGACTTCGGTATTGAAGTGGGGACTAGTTGTTGTACTAGAAAGTGGCGCCCCCTACAAAAAATAAATATATTTCAATAAATATTGGTTTCATAAATTTGTGTGTAAGCGAATCCCAATACTCATACAGTTATGGGGACACAATAACTAATGTAGTATTCAGTACCATTTGGGGCAAGGTGACGTATGCGAATATTTTTTATAATTTTCTCTTGGTGCGGTAGCATTTTCTGATATTGTTTTAAGTAAGTATTTTTTATTGGATCAGTTAATACATACAGAGACACCGGGTTGCTCTAATATAAAAAATAAGAACCAAGATATATAAGGTGTCCAGGTGACGAGGGGCACTCTAAAAAACTAATGGACAGATTTTCTTAAAAATTAGTAAGAGTAGTAAACATATAAAATATTTTGACAGTTCTGTCATTTTCGCTTTTACCGAAAGCAGGTGTCAATTTTTTTATTTTGAGTGGGACATGCCTTTTTTTTATAACGGATTCCCATAGAACATAAACACTTTGTATAATAAAGCATATCGTTAAAATTGGTAATTTATAAAATATAAATTATTTTCGAAAATAAAATATATATTAAAATAATATTTATTTTTGGCTAAAATTAATTGAAGTTTGAAAAAGTTTTTTAATTGAATTATGATGAAAAACTATGAAGGTATTAATTAATAATTACATGATATAACAAGATCTTTTATTATACGGACTGAAAGAAAATGCTTGAATTTTCATTTATAGTCGAATCGAAATCGCCTCGGAGTAATAAATATGTCAGATCAAGAAATTTTAGGTGTGGGTGCCTATATTATTATTTAAGGGGTACATAAAATCATCATTTAAAAATATATTTTTTTGAATATATGTATTGTAACGGTTGGAACCATTATTCGTTATTTCAACACAATCACCTCTACTCAAATGTCATTTATGCCTTGTGTCAAAATTTCGTATTTCATTTGATTTGAATTTGTCAACGAAACAAGTTGATTTCAATTTTAATATATCTTGGTCATTCGATTTACTAAATAATTTTTATCTATCGTAAATTCCGTCTGATTTTATAGGGTAAGTTTTAATACTGATATATTGTTGAAAATATATATTTTGTACAAGAATTTCTTAAATAAAATGTCAAATTTTGAACATAACCTCAACAATGGATAACACGTTTTATATAAATTTATATATTATTTTTTGGAATAAAATATTATGCTTTACTATGTTTAAATGTATCAAATAAGATTTTTCCTTTTCATATTAATTTTAGTCTATGTGAAATTATTCATTTAATAGTTTTAAATTGTTCATTTAATAATTAAAGTATGTTATCTAAATCCTGTTCAAATTTCCTATTTCCTGTCATAACATTCGCCTTTCTTTTTAGCATGGCTCTATCTAGACGGTTTATTTCGGTTTATATCTAGACAG